AGAGTAAAGGTATTCTTGTGTCATTTGCCTATTCCTCATGAACCACATGGCTTTTAGACATATTCTCAAAAATTTATTTTGGAGAGTTTGGATTTTGTTAATTTTGATTCAAAATACTACTTCTTGAAATGATGGACGATTTTATTTGGAGCATTGATTTAAAGCTTTCTAAAGGATACATTTTATTCGTTCTTGCACATCTTTGGATGAATTTTTGTGAATTTTCCATATCAGTTTTTAATACAGTTTAGAATACGCAAATGTAAAGTCTGGAAACGTTTGATTATAATAAATTAAACTAAACCAAATTGGGGCAGAACTAGTATCAATATGTCACTCACGCAACCGAATACCACAAAGGTGTAGCGGTTGAGCGATTTTCGCTTGTTTCCTCTTAACGGCAACGACACTGTCTTATTTCCTCGTAATCGTTATTATACGGTTTACGATGCATTCGTTGTGACGATCTTGATACAATACAATCAGTAATCTACTCAAACGTATAAGGTGCAGCGGCTAACCGAATTATACGACGTTGAACACTGTTTTTTTTTTTGGCGGACGGTAAAGAATACGTAGCTCCCGTTTTGCTTCGGAAATCGATTTCAGATTCTGAACGAGCCTCCGAACGCGGTTTTCTCCCGTCCCTAGCCCTCCTTTCACGGACCAATATATTCGTTGTTGGTGCAGATTTTTATGCGAAACGTGACACCACACGAATTACGTACCACGCCCGATCGTCCATGTACGCGCCTAGGCACTGATCGTGGTGAGTTATCGCACACGTAATCACTCGGACAGTCTCACGCAACCGTGACATCATTGTTTTCCGCAGCAAATAACGCGTACGAAAAAATTCGATAAACTTTTAACCCAAAAGAAATTCACATTGTTGTTGCGGAGTCCACGGTTTCTGTTCAGTATTGCGCACTCAAATCGTAGTCGGTGTCGGTACGACCAATCCGGATACCCGGCAATCACGGGGCTCTGAGATTTATTCTTAAAATATGGGCTCAACCATGGGCGAATCCACAGAGAACTGTGGATCAGGCTATTTCAAGATACCGCTTATTAGAGCTGAAAATGGATTATATATGTATTTCCTTAAAAAAAAAAAAATATGATGTTAACAACAATATTTGTTTTTTAAGTTTATTCATAATTATCATTGTATACATTTATCTTATATTATAGAATCTTACATGGGGTCTGGCATAGAGATATTTTATTTTACTATACAAATAAACCAGTGGCATCATTTGTGGTGGGTGGAGGGAGGTGGAAACTGGGAAATTTGCCAGTTTAGTTTTAACTTAAATTTATAGAACATTTAAAAAATATAGAAGTCTTTAAGAGTCAATTTTATCAACAAATATCAATTGTGGGTCAGCTGCCCTCCTGAACCTTTCCTAAATCTGCTCCTGGGCTCAAAACAACTACGCAAACATGAAAAATTATAGTAATTATTTTCTTGAATTAAATAAAATTATGTTATTCTTACCTTAATCTTGAAATATTGTTGACGTAATGTAATAGAACTATATATAATCGTCAGGGGCGGATCTAAACCGAGATAACAGGGGGGGGGCGATTTTTAACGGACACACATGATATAGATAAAATTAAAAATATTAATTTTGATATAGATTATTTATTTAAATAAAAAAGTCTTAAAAAAAAATTATATACAGTTGAACCCCGATTTACCGTATTTCGATTAACCGTGCTGTCTTCCAAAATTATCTTCGCTCGAAATTGTTCGTTTGAAAATTTTAATTAGGTCGGACGAAGGTATTTTTATATTATATACAGATTATCGAAAAACGTAACGAACTTCTCAGCGATAAAAATATGGCATAAGTAGATATGAGTTATTTAAAATTAATTGAGTCTAATAGAAGTTCTTCAACGATCAGATTTATCTTATCACGTTATAACTAATACATATGGGAAATGTTCAAGTCTGTCGAATTTGTTTCATATTATTTAGTTTGTTTTTAGCATTTGCTAGAGCCGTTTCAAAAACAGTCACTGAGAAAATAATATCGTACACACTTAATATGGATATAATATTATAAATTTTATCATAATTCGTTTAATAAAAAGTCTTGATAAACCGTGTTTTTCATTTTTCCGTGTGACTCTTCCCCACCATTGCCCTATTCTACTATAGTAATAATAATAATAATAATTTTTTTTAGTTATTCCAATATTTTTTAATTTAAATTTTTTAAAAAAATACATAAGTTAGATTTTGTAGTAAAGTTCAAGCGTAAGGAGAAAAAACATTTTTAATAGGTATTTATTAAATATCCTCCAATATTATGTTGTTTAGGGGCCCCCATTGTAAATGTTTTGCTGGAGGCCCAACAATGATCTAGACCGACACTGTTCGTAGTACGATATAGTAACTGGAAATCGCATGTCTCTATGTCGTCACACGTGTTGCCGCGATCGGTCACGGATGTCGGTGTAATCACCTGCTCGTCAGAACAATACCAATCACCGGCAATACGTATAATAACGGCTAAATACCGCTAAATATTATACACGTTTATGTTATACAACAAATGCGATAATGACTATAAATGTCAACGCACACGGTCACGAAGGTTAAGCAAATCTACGAATCTCGTAGCCTTCGTCGTGCGTGTACGTTACACAATATATTGCCATGATATGGCGTAAATTTTACCCAACATATGAACGTTTAATAACTAAAATAGTACGTTTACGGTTCGCTAACTCGTAAATAATATATACATAAATATATATAAATGTATTAGATTGTCTGTTATGATCCTCCAAAACCGTTTTGCGGCATCCCAGCGCTATATTGTCCTCTGCTGTACGAATACTACTGCGACGTGTATCCTTTCAAAAGCACCTATAAAATGCTAAAAAAAAAGAACCATTTGATAGACAATGTTTAGCAACAAAGGGATCATATCATACATTGTACACTATATTATGTAATGTGTTATTTATGTAATATTCTGTATTTTGTAAATAAATTAATAGTAAATAATATTGTTTTTTGTTCATTTCCCCAAACCATCGGTTATATAATAATTTATTATCAGACAAATGTTCAAACGAACAACGAAAATTGTGCAATAATCGCTTTTCCTGTGTTTCTAGATTAATGCTCCTAAGTTAAAATCAAACATCGTTCGATCGTACTATTCGTAACTTCTTTTATCGTTATTTTCTCTCGTTTTCTCTATTCTATAATATTAAGACTATTTTTTTATTTTGTAAATTGAAATCAGAAGTCAATGAGCGATGTTAAAACTCAAAATATTGCTAAAGTCAAAATTAAAGTTATGTATAATGTGTTCCCTGTGTGTTAAAAACATACCGTCAGAGAAAAATATATACTTCTCAACTAGAAACATGGGTTTTTAAATAAAATTCTTCGTGCAGCAGTTGTACCAGCCATTGTATTGATAAGCGTTGTCGCAGTAATTTAATGGAAAATATTGGTATGTTGGGAAATGTTTCGATTTCGATCGTTTCGGACGATATGGGACACTTCTTATGTAATATAATTAATTATAAATACTTTATAATATAGTATTTATAATCAATGGTTATATCTAGTAGAGTTATACTTATTTTCCTTAATTCCAACCTCAGACGTAGTTGTACCACACACATCCATATTGGTTTTTCTGTCCTAAGGCCAGAGCCGTGTCAAACATTTCAGAGCCCCGGGGCAAAATTTTTTTTGCGAGGCCACTGGGCATAGGTAGCATATTAAGTGCAGATAAGGGCGCCCCCTTACATTTAAAAAACTACGGCACCCGGGGGCAATTGCCCCCTTTGACCCCCCTTAACACGGCCCTGCCTAAGGCGGAAACGTTTCATTGGCAGAGCCGCAAAGCTAAAAATAATTGTTCACATTATCTCGTCTTCGGTTAATTGTTAATATATTGTGTGTAGTAATAACGGGCTATATTTATCGGACAATTTGTTCGCTTCATAAGCGTTTGGGAGAAAATATTCAAACGCGTTCGTCTCGTGTGAAAACATTGTGTACGGGTGATAAACCCATAAAAAAAATATCGGGTGGTGCAGGTAATCGAGCGTAGGAACATTAACTCGCTAGAAAACACCTTCGGATTGCCGCAAATGCGTGCTGAGAACACCGCCACGTAGAATGTTTCAATTTTTGAAATTTTCAAATCATCGAGCGATGAAACGCGCGCGCGATGCCAAATCCGTGTACCGCACGGCGGCAGTGACGACGACAATTTAACGCTGCAATGTCGGGTAGCACTGGAACACTACCGCCGTCGACGATTGATCAGCTGTGATGCGTCACGGACCAAATGTAAACACAATGATCGCTGGGTAACTTCCCTGCACTCCGTCACCCATTTGTAAACATCAACATCAACAAAAGCACGGCCGAGCAGCAGCTGTTCGTGGTGGTGGAGCGGTGCAGGGTACCGTCTTGGTGGAAAGGAGGGTGTGGAAGAGAGCGATCGAGCGAGAAACAAAACGGACGGAAACGAAAAAAAAAGGGAAAACCAAACAATCGCGCGTACGAAGTCGACAGACACCATAAACTATAACACGATCGGAGAAGGTTATACACTCATCAAATACGGTCAGAACACTGCAGCGGTAGTCACTTCGTTCATTGTGCGCAGTATACGAAGACGAAGAACATTTACATCCCGTTTCGATCCTTGTGAGGTAAGCATTGAACGTATAGGACCTTACCGGTTTGTCGCGCAGTTCGGTCCGTGGACTTTAAACTTTTCACGTTTCTTCCTCATTACAGCCTCCGTATTTTTAACTGTACGTGATTACGTATGGTGTTGACCATATGATATTTGCTATTGTTTTCACTATTTTTTTTATTTCCTTTGTCGTGTGCAGAATTTGACGTAGTCGCTTCCGCTGCGCAACATTCGTATCGCGTCGTTGTTTTGTTTGCGATACGCTTAGCCCCCTTCCCTATTCGTGTCGCCTCGCGGCGTATTTATATAACGTTGTGCTGCGCAGTTGTTCGCAATCGCGACATTTGTCGTCCGTTAGTCTGTTCCGTGTTGACGTTTAATTTGATTACTTGTCATTATTTTTAGTATTTCTTTTTTGTACAGCGTTTTTTTGTTCCGCTCGCCGTCAAAATCGTAAGTGCAATTTTTGTTTTCGTATTCTCTTCTCTTGCTGTCCATCCGATTTCGAGTTAAGTTTTCTAATTGTTGTGCATCTCTTATACTGCGATCATTTTCATTTTTCGAATCTTGTCGATTATCCCATTATTTTGTTTAGGAAAATCACGGCCCTAGTTTTGTGTGTATTTTTTTTTATCCGTTTGCCTTTCACAATTATCTGTCTCATGGTGTAAAAGAATTATTAATGTTGGTATAATTTAATGTTACCATTTTGACACGGTGACAATCAATTTCTGTAGTTTGTTTTATTTATAGTGCATATCTCCAACATTCCATACGGTATCATAGATTAATTATACTAATGTATAATTACTTATGTATATTTAATCTATACGGTATACAGTTGGTTATGATAATGTTAAATTTAAATTAATATTCTATATACCTATATAATATATTTGCTTTCAAAAGTTATTGTACACTATTGCCTGATTGTGTATTGAAGTTTGTTACTAAGAATATAAAAATAATTAGTTTATGTTTAAAAATAAATAAAGAAATAAGTGCTTAACCTGAAATATTATTATATTTGTAATGTTTGACCAGTTTCAAATTTCAAATTGAAAACTGGAACCAGACAGCAGTTGTACATTAGAAGTATAATAATACTCCATATAAATCGTCTTTTTATTTTTACATGTAAACTATATTATTTTTACTTTATTAATTTACGAGTATTAACAATTTACTAATTCTTATTTTATTTTATTATTTATTACCAAAAGTTTTTCTATTTTGTTTAATGATAAGTTACATCTGGGTTAGATAATATTCACATGTTGAGTAAATTGTTAATACTCATGACATATTCTGTAGATAATTATTTCTAAAAAAATAAAAATATATTTGAAAAAGTATAACATTTAGATGATATCTTTAACAATATTTTTATTATTTTAAACTCCCTAAATTTTTAACTTTTTATTTCCAAAATTGTTATTAAAAATTACTAATTAGTTAAAGAAATGCATTTCATGTAGACTTATAAATGCTTATTTTATCATAGTTATAATTTAAGATCTTATAGGTACTTAAATAAATTTAATTATTTATTATTATTATTTATTAATAAATTTATTTTATTTATTAGATAAATTTCATCATCTAATCTTAATGTTTTTTGTCTTTAAAATAAGTTTCATAGTATATTTATAATTGTTACACGAGTTATGTAACTCACGAAAAATAATTTATACAAAGGACTCTATTTTATGAAGTCAATATTAATAATAACCAATATCAATTTTTTTTTAATTTCATTTAATTAATAAATACATTCATGATAAACATTGATGTTAATTATATTCTTTAAAAATTACTTTGTACTGTTAAATAATAATATTACATGATAATTTACTCAAAGGTTATCTGTGTATTTACTTTGTTTTGATAACCTCTATATTTTTAAAATATTTTATTACTTAATTTTATATGATGTTAAACAAAGACTATTTTGTTTACTTTTATTTTATATATATCATTAATTATTGTTCAGTATATACATATTACATAGTTAATCATTCGATTTTTAAATTTGTTTTGTCTGCTAATTATTTATGACAACATTAATTGATTTTATTTTAATTTGAAGTTATTATTAGAACAATAAATATTTATAAATTAAGTTTCTTGAAATATTAATTTTCATATTTTATTTTTTATATAGTAAAATGAAGTTAGCCATAGTTTTGAGCCTTGTGGCTTGTGTCATTTGCACTCCCAATACAATCAATAAAAGTGATATTATTGAAGAAGAATGGAATGTATTTAAAGTAAGTAAAAACATATAAAATAAATAAATGTATAATTGTACTAAACCAATTTTTATAATTTTTAAGTTGCGTTTTAAAAAAACATATGAAGATATTAAAGAAGAACTATTCCGTAAAAAAGTTTACTTAGAAAACAAATTGAAAATTGCCAGACATAATAAATTGTATGAAACTGGAGAAGAAACATATGAGCTAGAAATGAATCATTTTGGTGATTTGGTATGTAAATGTTACATTAGTGTTTATAATTATTTATTTCATTACATTTGATCATCATTCAATTATAAAAAAAAATTTTAATTTTTTAGATGCAACATGAATATGCTGCAATGAATAATGGATTTAAGCGTAGTTTGGTTGGTGGAGATGGTAATTACACTGATGATGAAGCTGTTACTTTTTTGAAGTCTGAAAATGTAGTTATTCCTAAATCAGTGGACTGGAGAAAGAAGGGATATGTAACTCCTGTAAAAAATCAAGGTCAATGTGGATCTTGTTGGTCATTCAGTGCTGTAAGTTTTATCAAAAGTTTATAAAACTATTATAACGATTACTCCAAATAATAATATCTGGTATCATAAGAGTTATTGGTTGTATGGTTAAATCATTATTTAGCATAAATTCAGCATAATTTCCATGTATAGTCTATCATATATACTCAGTTATATAAATTTGAATTTTCGTCAAATTATAGATGTAGTTGAATATACTTAATAATAAATGTTTTTAATTTTTAAGTTGATCAGAAATGTAGTACAAAATTCAAAATTTATTGTGTAACAAATGTTTTAAATACTTAAACTATTCATTTTCGCTTATATAATTTTTACTGTAGATAAAATAAATATAAATTATTATTTTGTATTTATCAATGTATATTACTATAATTATATTTCTTTTTGAATATTCATTAAAATTATATTGAAGTTTCTTGAATATTATAAAGTAAAAATTTTTTGTACTTTTATGTGTTTAGTTTAAAATTGCATACTTTTTAATTTTTAGTATTGATAGTTTATAATTATTGTCAGTAACTTATACACAGTATGGTTTTTGCTATATTTTTTTATCTGAGATGAAAGTAATTTTATTCTAATAGAATTTGGTAATTAATCATTTACTTAGTAACTAGTTAATAAATACCACTTAGTTAATTTGCGGTAGACATGGTTTTTAATTTTTATTATTTTGCATTTGATTTGTTATGTTCCAAACTTAATTGCAAAGTGTCAAATATGTTTTATTATCATATTTGTTTGATTTGTGAATTTTTTGTGCTCAAGAATATATTCAGTTTAAAATACATAATACTTCTATCAATTTTAGAATAATATGTATATAACTTATTAAATAGTATGTTCTTTGCTATTTACATTATAAATATATATCATAAAAAGCTAGTTAGATTATTGATATACTTTTATTTTATTATTTCAGACTGGAGCATTGGAAGGTCAACATTTTCGCAAATCTGGTGTGTTAGTGTCATTGAGTGAACAAAATTTAATTGATTGCTCTCGCAAATATGGTAACAATGGTTGTGAGGGTGGTCTCATGGATCTGGCCTTTAAATATATTAAAAATAACAAGGGCCTTGACACAGAAAAGTCTTATCCTTATAAAGCTGAAGTATGGTGTTTTATTAATTTCTTATAGGTAACAATATTGATATTTTAATATTTTCAGGATGACAAATGCCATTATAACCCAGAAAATTCTGGTGCCACTGACAAAGGTTTTGTAGACATTCCTGAGGGAGATGAAGAAGCTCTTTTACATGCATTAGCAACAGTTGGGCCTATATCTATTGCCATTGATGCTTCATCAGAAAAATTCCAATTCTACAAAAAAGGCGTATTTTTCAACCCCCGTTGCAGTTCTACAGAATTGGACCATGGTGTGCTCGTTGTAGGTTATGGTACTGCTATTAAAGGAGGAGATTATTGGATTGTGAAAAATTCATGGGGCAAGACCTGGGGAGACGAAGGTTATATATTGATGGCACGTAACAAGAAAAACAATTGTGGTATTGCATCTAGTGCCAGCTATCCTTTAGTTTAAATTGATGTTCTATTCAGTCCTATTATTCTATATATCTTTATTTTAAGTAAAATCTATTGATTAAAAATATTTTTTTTTATGTAAGCTTTCTATTTTAAATTCAATATAATTATAAGTATGTTTTGATTACTAAAATAAGTTTTGATATGATTTCTTAAAAATTTATATTTTTTTTTTCATAAAGTACATTTCTTATTAATAATTTTCTTTATTTTAATATCAGTTTTTTATCATACCTTATGGAAATATACTATGACTTAATTGTATGATTTTGTGCCTTATGAAATATTATCAAAATTATTATTTTATTATTTATACCAATCAAAAACTAGGTTGACTTACATTAGATTAAAATCAAATGGCTTTTTTAATTATTATAAATAGTTATTATAATCATAATATATATTGTATACATTTTCTATACATTTTATTATAAAATTATAAAAAATAAAATTATTTTTGTAAAGATAGAATTTAATGTAACTCAATTATATTTATAATAATCAATTCTATAAAATGTGTTATTAATAATTAATTTACAAATTCCAAAGACTTATCTTAGTAATTCGGTTTGTTGTATTTAATTAATTGTCATAGCTATAATTATTTCTAATTAGGTCAGTCATTTATGTATTATGCATATTAATAAGATTAGCATTAGAATTAAATATCTGTAAACTTTATAACTTGTGATAATCTAATATATATATATTAATATTTTTCCACTTTTTTTTTTTTATTGAAATCTTATTATTAAATTAATTTTGTCAATTATAATAGTAGTACAGAAATTTAATGGTTAAAAAAAAAGAAAGTAATGATGAAATATTTTTTGTTAGGTAGGAAATATTAGGTAAGTATATTGAATGCAATATTTTATTATAGGATTTAAAAAGGATCATTAAATTAGCGCGTTGAGTTGATGGAACTTATCTTCAACTTAGGATAGTTAAAAATTAGGTTATTATAAAGTGTGCAGAGAGACCAACTGTTTAATGAAAGTTAAAAATTATGTGCAGGAAGTAATGTGTGGCTGAAATAAAGATGGGAGAATGAGATAATGGTTATTCTAGAGACCTTAAGATTATGGATCTGAGATTGTGATGAAATGATGGACGAGATTATTATGTACCAACTGGAGATAAGAGGTGGGAGAGACGTTCACTGGGACTTCTATCCTCGGTGGGCTTAGGTCAGTTCTCCTCTTTGATAAGAGATAAAAAATGAAGTTTCCAAATTTATTGACGCCAACGTCCAAAAAAAAAAATTCTCTCCAATCTAACCTCTACAGTGTCATTAACATAATAATAAAAAAATACCTAAATTTCAAATTTATTTATTTTCAAATTCAAATTTCAAAACCGATATTTTTGAAAAAATTAAAAACCGATCTGTTGTTCCATATATGAATAATCACAAAATATTATAGCTTGAAACTTAGTATAGTTCATAGTTCGCAATAAATTACATACGAGGCAAAAATAAATGATTGCGGGTTGTCGCGGCTAACGACAAGTTTTTATTTAAAAGTAAATAGTGTCTTTTATTGTGAGACTTTGAAGTTATTATAATCTAATTTGGTTTTAAACTATTAAATGTTTGTTTTGTCATTTTTTTTCCTAGTAAATTGGGAGAATCAAATCCTAGTGTGTGTACTGAAGCGTTTGTGGTGATAAAACACTTTTGTAAAGTAACAAGATGTTTCTGTACCTATCCTGTACTCGTTATCGTGGTCACCAAAAGGAGAATTTAATAAGTTTTAACCGAAAGGTATCGATGTTTACTCTTTGACGGCCTGAGACTCAATAATCGAAATATATCTGTTATATGTCAAGCCTTTACATGTGAATAGCCAATACTATGTGAAAAATGTTCGTAAGGTCATCAGGTGATCGACAAAACGCGTATGAAAATGTAAAATTTCTAATTGTTTGTCATATTTAAAAGAAAATTGTTAAAATAAATTAAATTTCTACTTTAATTATTCACATCTGCTTAGATTATTTATTTTGAGTATTTGAGATACAATATGTGATTGTTCAAGAGGTGGTGGTGTGCTAATTGCAATAAATAATAAATTCTATTCTCGTATGTTACCCTTACCTCCCTGTTCCGTAGAACATTTATTTGTTACTGTCAAAATTAATTTCGTTTACTATATTTTAGGTAATACTTATTTTTCTCCTCGCCCACCTATAACGTTATACAATAAAAAGTTTGATATTATTAATGATCTATTAATTTCCTATCCCTACGTTAAAAATATAATTTTAGTAGGTGATTATAATACGCCAAACTTAAAATGGCAATTCACTTCTCCTTCCTGTTCACCTAACTATTTAAATTTAAATCAATTGTCAGTAGACTTTCTATCTAAAATTTCATTTTTTAAGTTTATCCCAATTCAATACTGTTTTAAATATAAATAATACCATTCTTGATCTAGTTCTTTCTAATATTGATAATATTACAGTTTCTAAATTTACGACTCCTCCTGTTCCTTGTGGTGTTCACCATCCATCTTTACTTATTATTATTCCTATTAATACTTATAAGCCAATTTATTATAATTTATTTACTTATGATTTTTACTCGTGAAATTACTCTGATATCATTAAATGCTTAGGCTTAATAAGTTGGGTTGAAATATTTTCAAATCTTAATGTAAATGAAGTTACAAATTTATTTTATTCTATTATTTATGAAATTATTGATGTATTTGTTCCAAAAAAAAAATAATAACTCGTCAAAAATATCCTATATGGTTTGGTTTTGAACTAAACAATTTAATATTTAAAAAGAAAATAGCTCATAAAATCTTTAAAAACTGGTGCCATTAACAATTATAATAAATTCTTAAATTTACGTGTCCAGTGTAAAGCTCTCTCTAAATTAAATTACCAAAATTATTTAAAAAATATCCAGGAAGATTTTAAACATCAACCATCTAAATTTTGGAAATTTATTAATGAAAAACGCAAAAAAACATTTCTACCTGACTGTATGTATTTAAATAATTCTAAATTTAACTCCAAATTCTATTGTTGAAGCCTTTGCTCAACATTTTGCTATTGTTTTTGAACATTATGATAACTCAAAATATATTGATCTAAGTGCAGTTTTTCCGAATAACTCATTGCTAGCACCTTTATTTGCATGTAAAATCACCTTAATCGAAGTTTTTAATGCTTTAAATAACCTTAGTTCAAAGTGTGGTCCTGGACCTGATTTAATTACAAGACAGTCTTATCAACAATGTAAATTTGTCCTCTCTTCTCCTCTACTTTATATTTTTAATTTATCTTTATCTAGTGGTATTTTTCTTGATAGATGGAAAACAAGTATTATTCTTCTTATTCCTAAGACATCATATGACTTATCAAATATTTCTAATTACAGGCCTATTTCTTTATTTTCAACTGCACCTAAAACATTAGAATCTATTGTGTTGTATATGATAACTCCTGAACTTGACAGAATTATTGTTGATGATCAACATAGTTTTAGACCGTCCAAAACAACTACTACTAATTTACTTACCCTTCAACATTCTATAGTTGATGCTTTTTCTGCTGGTTTACGTATGGACGTTATTTATACTGATTTCGCTAAAGCTTTATATAAAGTTAATCATACTATTTTTTTACATAAATTAAAATATATTGGCGTATGTGGTCCTCTTCTTCAATGGATTGAGTCTTACATTTCACAGCGTACTCAAATTGTTGTTTATAAAGAATTTCAGTCAAAACCAATATTAGTTACTTCGGGTGTTCCTCAAGATTCTCATTTAGCCCCAATTCTATTACTATTATATATTAATGATATTACCTTTAAAACTACAGTGTAATAAAAAATATAATACATGTATATTTAAAATAATTCTCACTAGAAAACTTTTGTCTTTTATGCAATATTTAAATTATTTTCATACATATAAGTAACTATTCCCAATAAGTACTACAGGAATTGAATGTAAATAGTTAATACAATTATTGTGGAATCAACGTTTGGTATATATTTTATATTATTTGAAATAAATTAGATGATTATTGAAGATTGCATTTTACATAATATTTTATATGTAGCTGTAAATATATTATTGTTAAAAATAATAACTATAATTCATAATCAAGGGTGGATTTTATCACTAACCAAGAGAGGGGCTAATGGAGGTTTAAGAATTTAGTTAGTTGGTTTTTTTAAATCTATATAACATTTTAAATTACAGAATATGTTTTTGAGTCCCTCATAAGTAAGTAATTTTTTTCACAATAATGACAAAGTTTAAATAGTTACATTATTGGTATCAATTTTAATCTGAAATCATTTTAAAATATAGGTAAGTACATATAATTAATAACAAAAGTGAGCTATTTATTTATAAAAAAAATATATGAAATAGGTACCATATTCATTAATGACCATTAACAGTATTTTATTATAATTGATTTAATATTTTTAAAAAAAGTATCATCAATCAGTTAATTATATATTGAAAAATAAAAGATTATTTATATATATATAAATAATCTATTTAAATTTATATAATGCGCATCTATGAACTTACACGATGTCACTTGATCACTATATCATGCAGGTTTAAAAGAGATTGTTGTAGTCTATGTCTTTAATTTGTTATATGTTTTTTGGAAGTTAAGAATATTATTTTATTATTCCTTATTGCTTTTATGAGCGAATTTATTTTTATTAAGCTTTATTGAAATATAAATTTTATTAAACAATGTTAGACCCCCCAAAATTTTTTTCCAGTTACGGCCTTAGGTATACATATGGAGAGGGGTTTCGGGATAAATTCCCCCTCAAGAACACAAAAAAAGTATTATGATTTATGATAAAAATGACTGTTTAGGTGAAATCTTCTGATAAAAATATACAATAATATGCCATTTGAATTCCCCTTTCATAAGAAAATTGAATGTACATCATTGAATATATACATAAAATAATTACCTTAAACCTTATTGCTTTTGCAATAACTGAAGTAACATTTATTCCAGTCAAATAATGTAAGCCTCAATGTAACCCTCCGTATTTAAGCTGAATATCACAATTTTACCAGCCAAATATATTTG